TGGGGAGTCATTAGTTCTTTCCATACACTTTATGCCCACATTAATGAAATAACCCGCATACAGTTTGTAAAGTATTTAAGGACTTACCACCCATCTAGCCATTTCCTGATTTTCTAGTTGCTTCATTAATGAGTAAAGCCTCACATCTGCTAGAGCAGACAGAAGTGCTTGGGCAAGTCTGGGAGTCCATATCTTCATTAAGTTAAAAAGAAGAAGTTATTAAACACATCTCTTAGCTCATACTGAATTAGCGTAAAATCAACAAGCTGATCCAACTATCATTTGGAGCCATTTTTAGTACAAAAATAGATAATATATTATTCTGTTTTTTGTAAAAATACATGTTTTCTACAAAAATTACATTAATTTCTTATGGACATACAAAAGGTAGTTTTATCATTTTCATTTTCTGTTTTCACACATTTCATATATATATTTTATACATGTTTTATATACATAAGAAATATGTGAGATATATATACCTTAAAATACTACTAATTTTAATTTAAATAACTAGTAAACCATTTTATTGTGTTGAGATTTATTTTAAAAGTATATTTATTTCTATTAGCATATAATAAATAAATAATATAATAGCAAGGAAACTCAGGATTCAAACCCAGGTGTGCCTGACACCAAAGCCTGTGCTCTCATGTTTTCCCATCCTACAATATAGAAAATAAGACGACAGATTACTGGGGGTGAAAAAAAGCTGTATGTTGTGACACGTGTCTGTAATCTCAGTGGTTGGGAAGCTAAGGCAGGAGGATTGCAAGTTCGAGACCAGCCTCAGCAATTTAGCACAGCCCTAAGCAACTTAGCAAGACCCTGTCTCAAAATAAAAAAGGGCTATAGATGTGGTTCAGTGATAAAGCACCCCTGGGTTCAGTCCCTGGTACCAACCCCTCCCCCAAACAAAACAAACCCCAAAAGTATTCTATGATCACAGTATTCAGATGACATTAAAGAATAATTTATGAGTAAAATAAAAAAAACTAAAGTACTGGGCTGTGGCTAGAGATAGTGTGCCTGCCTAGCATTCATGAGGCCCTGGGTTCTATCCAGCACCACAAAACAAGACAAAAACAACCCAAAAAGCAGAAAAAGAAAGAGTAAATGTATTACAATTAAATTACATTTTAGCATTAGCATGTCTGACACTTTTCTCAGTTCATAGCTTCTATAGTCTACCTATGTTAATGGGAGAAACTTTGCTATTGCTCTTAAATTCTCTTTCTCCAGGATTGTCACATTATCGTTTTCATGTTCTGGTCCTCATTTCTCAGTAATGGAGAATGAACTGATATTTATCAGTTCAAAGGAGAAGGTACAACCCTGCTTTAAAACAATACCCGCTAGGGCTGGGGTTGTAGCTCAGCAGCAGAGCGCTTGCTTAGCACATGTGAGGCTCTAGGATCGATCCTCAGTACCACATAAAAATAAATAAAGGTATTGTATCTATCTACAACTAAAAAAATTATTAAGAAAAAAAAATACCCCCTAGAACTTCAGTGTCTTTCTAGGCTCCAAAAAAAATACCCCAAGAGGGGCTGGGGTTATGGCTCAGCGGTAGAGTGCTCACCTTCCATGTTTAAGGCCCTGGGTTCAATCCTCAGCACCACATATAAATAAATACATAAATAAATAAAATAAAAATATTAAAAAAACACCCCAAGATTTGGAATACTGAGCCACTAGCTCTCTGAACTAGAAGGCCTAAACTTCTAGTTCAACCTGATGACAGCTTAAAAGATCTAGAATGTGAGGCTACCGAAAAATTTGTACTATTGGTAACTATCTTGGAAACTGACCTAGTAAAATTCAACATCTAGGAATTACAATCCTATTTACTATTGATGGCCAGTTACTACAATGCACAATGATTATATATATCATTAAATTTCTGTCATATTAATTTTTTCTAAATTTGAATTTCAACACTAAATACTGATTGGGTTTATGTGTGTTTTGTCTTCATAAGCTCACATAACATGGTTTTCCATTTACAAGTTAAAAAAAACCACCAATCTCAAGTGATTCTTTTAAAATTTTTGGGGGATGTTAATGGATCATTTATTTTATTATATATATGCGGTGCTGTGAATCGAACCCAGTGTCTCACACATGCTAAGTGAGCGCTCCACCACTGAGCTACAACCCCAGGCCTCAAGTGACTCTTTTATGAAGGAAGTATACTTCTAAAATTCAAATTATGTGTATATAAAAGTTATTTTGAAAATCTGCATATATTAACAGAATTCCTCATAGCAGGATATGCTTAGTCTTGTGTTCTTTTGAGGGTGATGGTGTTACTGGAGATTGTATCCAGAGGTGCTTTCACTCAGGTGCATCCTCAGCCCCTTTTTATTTTGGAGAAAAGGTCTGGCTAAATTGCTTAGGGCCTCACTAAACTGCTGAGGCTGGCCTCAAATTTATAATTCTCCTGCCTTAGCTTCCCACATGGCTGGGGTTACAGCTTGCACCACTGCACCTGGCCCCAGCCTTTTTTATATTTTATTTTAAGACAGTGTCTCCCTGAGTTGCTGAGAGTCTTGCTAAACTGCTGAAGTTGGCCTGGAACTTGTGATTCTTCTGCCTCAGCCTCCTGAATCACTGTATTATAGGCATGTGCCACTGCCCCTACCCAGTTTTGTGTTTTGTATGTCTTTGGCATCTTGGGCATTCCAGATGAGGTTGGACTTTAGCAACAGTAGAGTTCTAAAAACAATCGTGGTACCAATAATATAACTTAGTTAATACCAATTAACTCTAGAAAAATGATAGAATACATGTTTTTAATAACATTTTTGATTACTTTTATTTAAACTTACCAGCAGCTGAACACTATCTTTCCCCAAAAGATGCAGAATCTTGTAAATGCTTGCAAAGATTAAAGGGTAAGTATAACCCCTCAATCTTTCTGTCCATTCCCAGGTCATATAACCATAATTAGTAATATTAAGGATTAAATGTCAAATAGTATTGAAATAATCTATTTACACTTTCATATATAAAACAATATTTTACTCTTTAACATTGGAATTTTATTTATTTATTTGTGGTGTGTGTGTGTGTGTGTGTGTGTGTATGTGTGTTGCTGGGGATTGAACCCAGGGCCTTGTGCATGCACTCAACTGAGCTATATCCCCCCAGACCAACAATGAAATTTTAAAACCCAGTATTTTATATTGGCTATCAGAATTAAAACTTCAGTTGGCCAACTAAATGCTTTGACTGATTCAAGACAGAAATGTGTTTTTTTACTTTATCTGAATCTGCCAAGTACAAGCATTGTGGGACTATACACACTAAAGGATGTGTCAAGTATATTAACATCAAAGAAAGATACAGAAGAAATATTGGTATTCAGCAATGGCATACTTTGATGAGTTGAAATTATGAGAAAATGTGTATCAAAAGAGGAGTCATTCCTAAGATAAATACACATTCATTGTCTGGAAAAGAAACTAGAAAGGATATTTGAAAACCATGTGATGTGCAACTTCAAGAGACTGCCAATATTCATCTGGAACAAAACTTGTCTGGACCAAAAAGCAATTAAATATTCGTAAAGCAATGGTAAATAAAACCAGATAAATGTTTTCTCCAAGAAGATCTGAAAAACAAAACAATAAGCAATTGTGGCAAAAAAGACAGGCATTCCACTTGCAGAACTTAAAATCTGCCCTTCTGTTTGGCCCCTAGCTTAACCTTTGTTAAAGCACAGTGGTGAACTCTCAAAGTTGACCAGGGCTGAAAGGTACTCTAGGGCCAGAGCCTCACAACTGGGTGATGGCCACTCCTTTCATTTAAACCAACTTGTCTTGCCACTTACTGTACAGAGAATATTGAGATAAATACTGGAAAAAAGACTGGGTTTACTAAGTCCTCAAGCTAATTAGGTTATACTACATGTGGGCCTAATGAAAGAATCTAGTAAACAAATTACTAACTAGAATACAACTCTGTCAACAGTGGAATATCTTCATCATCATCAGTAATAGTAGTAATAGTAGTAGCAGCCAGAAGCGCTTTACCATTGAGTTACACCCCCAGCCCTTTTTATTTTGAACCAGGGTCTCACTAAATTCCTGAGGCTGGCCTCGCATTTGCAATCTCCGACAGCCTCGGGAGTCTCTGGGATTACAGGCATGCACCACCAACCCAGCTCCTCTGTATCTTAAAATCTCTTTTTGATAATGTATGCCAGTTAATGGGATAATTCCTTTACATGTATGTCATTTAACCCTCAAAACAACGCTATGGGATAGATATTATTAGCTCCATTTTACATACGAGGAAACTAAGGCTCAGGAATTACATTGCCTTGTCCAGAGTAAAAAGTTATAGAAGGCTAAATATTCAAATTCAGGTCGGCTGGCTGTTGCGCAAATCTGCTCTTAACCACAAATGGGCAGATTGTATGCCAGTTTTTTTTTTTTTAATATGAATTTAGTTACCAACATTTAAAAATCAGATTTAAGTTAAAACCTACATTTCCAGTATTCAAGTCTATTTTAAGATCTGGCAGCACAAAGCGAAACTGGAAACTGGTTGACAGTGAAAAGTAGTAGGGCGCTTCCTTTGAATCGGACTGTAGCTCTCCATCCAATCTCCTCACTCACCTCCGCGGCGCCGGCTCTGGTCCTGGGCGCTGACGTACAAGGTAGACTTTCTCTTTCGCAGCTTTGTTTTCTCGTGGGAGCGGTTTTGGAGAGCGCGGAAAGCAAGGCTGCGGCCGCCACCTTCCGGCTCCATTTCCACCTGCTTGGAGGCCAGCAGAGGTTCCCCAGCCGCCACCTTCCAAGGACGGAAGGAAGCTGGAGAAACGCGCGCTGCTGCTGCTGCACTAAGTTTGGTCTTTGCGAGCGGCCGTCGCTTGCAGACACGGAGGTATCCGGTCAAGGGCCAGTCTTGAAGCCAACGTGCCAGGCAGTCCCCGCAGCAGAGTGCTGGCGTTCTGCAGAGGGCTCCCCGGTTTTCTCTTCGGCGCTGCCTAGCCGCGGAGGACGGGAATAGCTGCCACTCTTTGCTTTTGTCTCTGCTCCGACGCCCGGAAGCGCTGCCGGAAGGAGACCAATCTCACCTCGCGGGGACAGGCGAAGGCGCGGGGGACGGTCGGACGTGCCGAGTGCTGGCGGTACTGGTAATGATAAGCATAAACCTAAGTGTGTAACATTGCACTGCTTCGGTGGTCTTACAGAAATTCCCTGTCGAACGGGGTGGTCAGGGTAGCATATTGCACCTATGTAGCAACAGGCTGAAAGGATCGGGGAGGGAGGGTGTTGATTTAACCCGTAACCATTGAACCAAGCATGATTGATGAAATTTGTCACTTATTGACTCAAATGTAGGAGATAAGAGAAAACAGGCTTTTCTTGCCCAAGTTAGTTTAAATTACATTCCAGGCATATTAAGCTCAGGCTAGTTAGTTTATAAACTATAAACTATATTTATTATATTTATAAGTTACACTATAAACTATATTTATTTATTTAAACTATAAACTATATTTGTGACCTCAGGTGCTGGTGTAGGAGGCCATGTTAAAATCGAGTAAACAAATTCTTCACTGTGCTTTTCTTATTCTAGAAAGGAATATGTTGGCAAGGAATATTACTTTCTGGAAAGCCTTAGAGTCTTTCAGTTGTTAAAAATATAACAGCACATTTCATTATATTTTTCTTAAAAGCATATTTTTCTTAAAATGTAAATTATAGATGACAAATAATTTATGTTTGATATCTTCTGTGCTTACTAAAACAAAAAAAGAAACATATTTTTTTTTGCTGGGTATTGAACCCAACGATGCTTTTTGCCACTGAGTCACATCTCCACCCCCTTTTTAATTTTTTTTTATTTTGAGACAGGGTTTCATTAAGTTACTTAAGTTCTTGCTAAGTTGCCCATGTTCGTCTGCAACTAGCAGTCCTTCTGCCTCAGCCCCAGAGTCGCTGGGATATCAGACGTCGGCCTCTATAGGTGGAACTCATTAAATCGTTTAGCTCATTAAACAATTGTTCTTATGATACATAGTACTAAAAAACATGAATAATCCAAAAAGGACTAATGGAAAGTAATAATTCTCTGCCTACCTCACTCTTGCTTCCAGTTCACATTTCTCAGAGGCAATCACAGCTTTTTCCAACTGTTTTGTTTTGTTTTTTTTTAGTTTGTTTTGTGGTATGAATTAAAAGCATAAAGAGTGTGTCATTCCCTGCCATCTTTTTCCCATATTAAGTTATCCATTTAAAACCATGGAGAACATACTGTAATAAAAGAGGATTTAGCTTTGTCTTACATCATCTCCTTACCTAATTTCCCATAGTTAAAGTGATGCTTCAATAGTACAAAAAATGTTGTTCACTCTCAAGCAAAGTAGTGATATGAAATCTTAAAGTGATTATACTAAGTCATTGCTCTGTTTCCTCTTTTCTTTGTACAGAGATATGAAGAGATTTGCTGAATGTGGAATATAACTTTTCAGAACCACCTTTGTTTTATTCTTTGTTTGTTGCAACAATGTTTGGGAGATTGACTCTTCCACAACTGCTTTTTGCTGGAGTCCTTGGACTTGCTGGAGGAATATATATTTATCAACCAATATTTGAACAATATTCCAGAGAGCAGAAGGAATTAAAAGAAAAGGCGAAATTGGCACAAGTATCAGAGGAGAAGAAAAGTTAATACTACCTGGAGTTGAATTATAACAATTGATTAAAGTTTTGCTGAAATTATACACTGACTGTAAATAACCTAGGAAAAACTTAGGTATTTTTTAAACACAAATAAATAATGGGTAATAATATTTTTAAAACTAGCACTATGAATTTAATGTTTTATTTGCCATTTTAAATCTTTATCAGGATAAATTAGTAACTTCCTTTTAAACAAAAATGAATGTCTTCAGGGCAATATATAAATTGATCTAATCAATGCCTCTAATAGTTTAGTGTGAACTCTTGAGATTTTTTCTTCCATGAACTTAAAAATAGCTTTGATTAAAATGTCTTATATCTGTTATGTGTCAGGGTTGGCTTTGCCTGGCTACGGGCAGACTGGGATTCTGTTCTGTGTGTCTTCTCGTTGTGGGACCCATGCTTATGGAACAGCCCCTGTCTGAGCTATGCTAGTAAAGGAGAGAAAGACTGAGAGGAAGCATACAATGGTAGGCTTTTGCCAGTTGTGGCAAATGTCATATCTTTTCATAATTTTATTGATTTGGAGCATGTCACATGGTCAGTCCCAAAGTCAAAAGGCAAGGACGTGGATTATTCCTACAGGATGCATTGTCAAGTCACATGACAATAAATAGAAATATGTAAGCCTGTTGTATCCAAGGAATAATAATCCTAACACATTAGGTTAAATTGAACTGCTTTTGGTCCTTCTTTTTTAATGGTGCTGGGGATTGAACCCAGGTCCTTGTGCATGCAAGGCAAGCACTCTACCAACTGAGCTGTATCCCCAGCCTTTGATGCTTCTTTTGAGACATATTCCTTGGTCAGTTTAGAAGTCACATACCAAGTGCTAGAGGCTGAGGTTTTGGGTTTTTCTTTTTTTGGTAAAGATGGGTCTATTCAAATCAAAACCACCGTGAAGACTACAGTATTCCTCAGCAGTAGATTGCTTAGCTTGCACAAAGCCCTGGGTTCTGTCCCCAGAACCAAAAAAAGAAAAGAAAACCACAAAACAAACTATAATGAGATACTCCTTTATATTCACTAGAATGATTATAATAAAAAAGACAATGATGTGGAGCAAGTGGAATCACCATGTATTGCAGTGGAAATATAAAATGGTATAGCTACTTTGCAAAAGTTTGGCAGTGTTTCAAGTGGTTAAACTTAATTACCACATGGTCCAGCAATTCTCCTCCTAGATATATACCAGATAGAATTGAAAACAAGTTTATACTAAAGCTGTACATGAATGTTTATAGCAGCAACATTCATAAAAGCCAAAAACTAGGAACAACCAAAATTGCCATCAAGTGATGAATGGATAAGTAAATATAATATAGCTCTACAATGGAATATTAGCCATAAAAGTGAATGAAGTATGTGTTATAGTGTGGATACCAGTACATTATGGAAAAAACCAGGCACAAGGGGCCACCTTATGCCTTGGTATGATTTCATTCATATGATATGTCCATAACAGGTAAAGGTATAGAGAAATAAAGCAGATTAGTTGGCTGCCAGGGACTGACTGAAAGGGGTAGAGGGACTGTTAGTGGGTATAGTGTTTGTTTTTAGGTTGATGAAATGTTCTGGAGCTAGATAGTGGTGACCAGTGTATGACTTTAAAAACCACTGAGTGGTATAGTTTTAAAGGCTTTTTATTGTGTATAAATTATAAAGCTATAATTAAAAAAGATACTGCATCCAAAATAGTAGTTACAATTGAAGTACTCCACTGGTTCCTACTGTACAGTAGCATAAAATCTCATCAGTTTTTTAAAATTGTGGAATAATATACATAAAATTTGCTATTTTAAGGGCACAATCAATGTCATTGTGCATTCATATTGTATAATTGTTACCATCATTCATCTCCAGAACTTTTTCCATCTAGTAGTTGCAAGGCCCAGAGAGGTATATTGAATTGGGTTACAGAAACTCACTACTATTTCCTTCAGGTCTTTGAATGTGGCATTGATATCTGCAATTCTTTGCATGAATTGGTTCTGATTTACTGTCTTATCAAGGTAAAGCAGACTCAGGTTTACAGTTGGCCCTTTCTATCATAAAGATCAATGTGAATTCTCTGTGAACTACTGAATTTATATCCTACTTAAGGACTGAGTAGGATGATGTACTGGTATCCATATTATAGCAGCAACCTGTAGAGTGGTCCTGTAAGATTAAATTGGGGGTTGGTTTTGTGGCTCAGTGGTGAAGCGCTTGCCTAGAGTGTGTGAGACACTGGGTTCAATTCTCAGCACCACATAAAAATCCACAACTATATAGAAAAGAAGGGCAAAACCTGTAGTCATCTTTTGACTTCCATGAGTTCCCACTCTTAACTGGAGGATCATTCATTCTCCTTGTACAGTGTCAGCTTGTACTTAGATATTATATCCACAGGTTATCAAAACCTTAAGTTTTCTTCTCTTGTGGGGCATGGTGGCATTTTCACCTGTAATCCCAGCAGCTCAGGAAGCTGACACAAGAAGATGGCAAGTTCAAAGCCAGCCTCAGCAATTTAGTGAGGACCTAAGCAACTCAGTTAGCCCCTGTTTCTAAATAAAATACAAAGAGGGCTATGGATGTGGCTCAGGAGTTAAGCACCCCTGGGTTCAATCCCTGGTACCAAAAAAAAAAAAAAAAAAAAATTCTTTGCACTTTCTAGTTAATGGCTTTGGATTTCCTGGGGTAGAAGTAGAGAGTTGTTCACTGTGTTTTCTTGTGGCATTGAAAAGAATTTTCTCAAGTGGATATATTTTGTTTAATCACTGGGTTCTGAAGCTGTGGCGTGGTTTATGTCAGGAAACTGTTGAGGGACCATGATTTTCATTATAAAGACTAACAGCAGTATTATGTTCACTTTTAAATATAAGCCATGCATCACTTGCCAGCAACAAAATACACCACCCCACCTCCCTTTCTAACTTTCCCTTGAGAACATCATGATCTCTAAGCCATCAGTATAGATTCTTGTGGGTCAAGACACCTGGATTATATCCTACCCTTGCTTCCTATTATACATGTCCCACTATGATATCTGTCCTTTGCCATTATGGAATTCTTTTATTTATAATTGGTACTAGGGAGCCCCATTGCTACTACATCTGTCAATTCTAATCTATGAAGGGCAACACCATTAAACTTTTCAAAGATGTCAGTACCCTCCACCAGGGTGTCCATTATTGTCTCACTGAAAGGAACATCTTGAGAGTTTTCCCAGGTAGCACAAGCAGGCACTGGTTTCTCTAGTCTCACTATCCATTCTAACCTCAAGATAACAGGGCAAGATGAGGGAGTCAGTTTAAGGAGGAAAAGCCAAGACTGATGTTTTTAAAGGACCATTAATATGTGTAATCAGACTTGATCCTTTGGGATTTTCTGAGGAGATTAAAAGGTTTTAGCTATTATTTTGAAATAATTTCAGGTGTAGAGAAGAGGTACAAAATAGTACCAAAAGTTTTTTACGCACTCATTGCCTAGATTCTTTAATAGTCAACATTTTAATCTCTGTTTCTGTGTGTGATTATGCATGTACATTTTTCTAAATCCTTTGAAAGTCTGCATGTTTGATGCCTTTTTAGCCCTAAGTATTTGTGTTAATTCCTAAATACAATGATATTCTCTTTCATAATCACAATATGATAATCAAGAATTTAGAATATCATTACTAAATCTCAGATCTTATCCAAAGTTTGTCAAGACCCATTAATGTCCTTTAGAGTGAAAAACAATTTTTTTTTGTGACTCCAGAACTAATCCAGGATCATATTTGAATTTAGTTGTCTTATCTCCTTTCTTGGTTTCACTTATTCTAGAGCAGATCTTTATTCATTGCTTTTCATGACTGGGGCATTTTTTTTTTTGAGAGAGAGAGATTTTTTTTTAATATTTATTTTTTAGTTTTCGGCAGACACAACATCTTTGTATGTGGTGCTGGGGATCGAACCCAGGCCGCACGCATGCCAGGCGAGCGCTACCGCTTAGGCCACATCCCCAGCCCATGACTGAGGCATTTGAAGAGTATTGGCCTAAGGTTTTACACATTGTCTCTTATTTATTTTTTTTTTTAAATCAGGGATTGAACCCAGGGTTTATTGATTGTTTTTTGATTAGATTCAAGGAAAATGCCAAAATGATGTGTTAGCATGATTCATGGATTCTTATTTTGTTCCATGGATTATGATCCATTACTATCATCAGGGCTGGCTGCATGATTTATGGGAAAATGTAAAGCCCCTGGGGTGCTGGGGTGTGGGGAGGAGGAAGCCAATTTCTTCTTATCATGGGTGGCTGACTTCAATTTATGCAAATGAACAACCCCCATGGATTACCATAGCCTCCTTGATGGTATGTTCTTCTTTCTTGAATAGTGGTGGTTAGAAGCCCTTGCTGAATGGGCTGCAGAATGTGCTATAGCGCTGCCAAACCAAGGAAGGGAAAACTACCTTCTTGCCCACCCATGTCCAATCCCAATTCCTACTGTACACAACCATGCCTACAGTGCTACCACAGTGGAAGATGATGGTGGAATGTGGACCTTCCCCAGCCAAGGTGACTAGGTCATTAACTGGGTGAGTGGTCACTGCCCTTGAGTTAGATGAGGGGAATGCAAAGCCCAGCAGGGATCAGGGAACCAGGGGTAGGGAATGGACAGCAGCAAGAGTCAGACCCACATGTGAGCAGAGGCTCTAAACTGTTAACATGTTCCATTATGCTATGAGACTTCACTTATAAATTATTAAATAAATAAATAAAATGATTAAGCATTTCAAGACAGTGATTATGGAATATTAAAATTCCAAGTACAAGTTCCTATGTGACTCTACAAAACCACCAACCAGTAGATAAACACAATTTTGATGTTCAAATTGTCCCAGATTTGGCCAGTGGAAACTCCTTCAAGTTGGCTCCACTTTTGGTTTTTAAATAGTTTGTATATGAATCTAAAAATTAGGAAGAATGTACTGCAAATGTATCTGGGTGGTAAATATTGGTGACTTGAATATTCTTTTTCATAGATCATATGCTTATGAAGAATCTATGTTATAGTTATAAAAAGAGAAACAAATTATTAAAAGCATGTGTTCTGCAAATCTTTGTGATTAAGTACCAGGAAGTAATTAAGGGCATGTTTCCATTCATGTTTTAGGTATTTTATGATCTATTAGTAGGATTATGTGGGAGAAAATAGAAAGATTTGAAAATCTTTTCAAAATAGATAATATAAACACAAAACTCAATAACCAGAGACTAGCTAGGAAAAGGGAGATAAGTTTTCAGATAACTGTAGCTGATGTTAAAATTCAAGTCATTAATTATAGGCCTTTTAAAAAA